CCCAGTGCCAGAATCCCTGACTAGAGTGAGCTGCAACAGTTGCTGGATGTGGGCTGCAGGGGGTTGTAGCAGCCTAATGCCCCCACTAAAGCTGGTTGTTGTGGTTGCTGGAAGTGGACAGCTGAGAATGCTGGCATTGGGTGCCTGGAGCTCCTGCTAGAGTAAGCTGACAGTTAATAAATCATGCTAGGCAGAATTTGCAAGATTGTGAGAATCCTGCGTGCCAGGCTTCGGGCTATGTGCTTGTGTCCACATTCATTTGTCATCACATGCCCTAATGTGATGTGATGACGTGTGTGGAAGTGACTAATCGCTCGAAAACAAGAATGCTGATGACCTTACGCAGTCAGGTTAACAATGACTGGAAGTGAACAGTGGGGGGCTCTGGCGTCCCAGTGTTGAAAGCCCCTTTTAATCCAAAACAACTTTAGTATGAGACGACTCTTGGCACGAAACAAGTCTTGGAAAGGCATAACTTTGAAATGACTGTTCGCTTAAAACACATTTAGCTCAATGACTTTAGCTCGAAACACTTGTTCACTTTGCTCGAATGACTTTTCTATAAGCTTAGCTTGAAACAATTTGTTCAAAATGACATGGTTCGAGATGAATGTTTGCTCGAAATGCGTATACCAAAGAGGTTACCATGTATGCTGCCAGAATCAGTTATATCGGAACTGGAGAGTATACTTTATTAAAAGATGGTATAGAACAAATGACTGTTAGCCGGATGTTCACTCCAAATGACTGTTAGCCCAATATTAACTTGAAATGACGGTGCTGGCAGCAGAAACTGCTGCTGTGGCTGGTGATAGTAGGCATGTATCCTACGTTAGAAGGCAGCTGGGGGTGTATTTCTGGGGGAGCTGGCATTTCAGTGCCGGGAGCACCTATTGGAAATAGTTGCTGTAGTTGTTGGAATTGTGCAGCGTGGGGCACTGGCATCCAAGTGCCTAAGCCCCTGAGATCGGCTGCTGTGGTTGCTAGAGGTGTACAACTGCTTTAGTTGTTGGAAGTTGGCAGTGGGGGATGCCGGGATCTCGGTGCCAAAGCCCCCAGTAAAGCTGGCTGCTGTGGTTGGTGGAAGTAGATTGCTGGGAGTGCTGGCATCCCGGTGCCAGGTTCATAAATTAATAAATGGTACAGATATTGTCAATGATATTAATGATAATAATAATAGGACTAGCAATAACAATTGCAGCACAGGGTGTCGAGCAGGAACATGGTAGCAGCAGGCTACTTGCAACCACAGATCCAGAGCCAGAAACACCTGCAGAAAGAGAGGATGAGAGAGGAGAGGGAAGAGAAAGCACAAGGATATGGGACAGAATAGTCCAATGTTTTGCTCTTAACCATACCAGTTTTTAGGTGTGTGTTTTGGGTCATTATCCTGTTGGAGAAACCATGACCTGCTAGCAACAAGATGGGAGGGACTGAAGTTGGCATAGGAGATTTGTGACTTGATAAAGAATTAAAAGCTGATGGAATCAGATCCTTAAATTTAGCTACAGCACAATCAGACATCTTCAAAAGTTACCAAATACTTGTCAGATAAAGAGGGATTCTGTGGGAACACTAAACATTAAATGTTCAATTTCAATACCATATACCAGAACAAGGTTGAGGGTGTGGTTAAAAAAGTCCATTCATGAACACCCTGAGAGAAACCAATGGAATCTAACAGAGAGATAAACGCAGTACTAAGTCATTCTCAACGTCGACATGAATATTAAAATCCCCTACAATAATAACTTTGTCCGTCCATCATCAACCACTTATCCTGCGTACAGGGTCGCGGGGGCGCTGGAGCCAATCCCGGCTGACATCGGGCGCAAGGCGGGGTATACCCTGGACAGGTCGCCAGTCCATCGCAGGGCCACACATAGACGAACAACCACTCATGCTCACACTCCCACACATAGACGAACAACCACTCACGCTCACACCTAAGGACAATTTAGGGTCACCAATCAACCTAGCCTGCATGCTTTTGGATGGTGGGAGGAAGCCGAAGCACCCGGAGGGAACCCACGCAGACACGGGGAGAACATGCAAACTCCACACAGAAAGGCCGGGGCAACCGGGGTTTGAACCCACGACCTTCTTCCTGTGAGGCGACTGCTAACCACTGCACCACCGTGCCGCCCCTAAAGTTGACAAAACTCTGCAAATTCAGATAAGAATTCAGAGTACGGACCAGGTGCTCGGTACACTATAACAAAAAGAATTGGTTGCAGTGATTTCCAACTTGGGTGCGAAAGACTAAGAACAAGGTTTTCAAATGAGTTATAGTTTGGTTTAGGTTTAGAGCTGATTAGTAGGCTAGAGTCGAAGATAGCTGCAACTCCACCTCCTCGGCCTGTGCCTCGAGGAATGTGAGTATTAATATGACTGGGAGGGGTGGATTCATTTAGGCTCACATATTCTCCATCACCCAGCCAGGTTTCAGTAAGACAAAATAAATCATAATCATAATCTGATATTAGTTCATTTACTAGTACAGCTTTAGAAGATAGAGATCTGGTGTTTAAGAGTCCACATTTAATTCTCCTATTCTTTTGCACTACTGCACTCGTGGTTTTAATTTTTACACATTTTTTATGCATCCTCTTCTGTTTACCTTTGATTTAAATAATTTAAATTGTCTGGGGGCAGACACTGTCACTATGCACAGAGCAGAGAGAAGTATGTTAGACTGCAGTTCTGCCTCCTGGTCTCAACTCTGGATTGTCATGGATTTGGTCCACTAATAAACTCAGCCTATTTCTACATATCAAATCTGCTCCATCCAAAGTAGGACAAATGCCGTCTCTCCTAATCAGACCAGGTCTTCCTCAGAAAGTCTGCCAATGACCTACAAAGCCCACATCGTTTGCTGGACACCACCTCGACAACCAGTGGCAGAATGATGTCATCACTGGTCAGATTTGGCAGGGGTCCAGAGAAAATGAGGTGTGAAAGTGAGAGCATGAGGAATCATTTGTGCAGCAATTTGTCTCATAGCAGCAGATTTAAGCAGCTGTAGTTACTGACTTGTGTTTGTGCAACTCTCACTCCAAGAATCCACATACTGATTTCCATCCTGATGAAGTGGAGAAGAGCGAGCATACTTCACTGGATGCTGAGCTTTTCCTTTAACTCTATATCAACCAGTCTGCTGGCTGCTGTTCTGTGTATCCACATGTTCATCTCACCTACAGTAAACTGGTAAAATGACTGAGGAGTTCACTGAGAGGTTTCTGAGCTGATGGAAAGTTCTTTACAAAACAACCTGAGTGTTTTTTCTGTCCACGGCTGTGCTCCAATCACAGGACTCCAGGCTGAAGGACAAAACACCTCAACAGGTAAAGACAGAAAGAATCACAGAAGCAGAATCAGCAGCCAAGTTTTAGTTTAGTCTCTTGAATTCACTTCTTTACTGATGACTCACTGGTTTCTGTTCAGAGCCTGATGATGTCAGGTTGGTGGGAGGAGCCAGTCGCTGTGCAGGAACACTGGAGCTGAAACATCAGGGAGACTGGAGACCAGTGGCTTACTCAAGCTGGACCCTGAAGACAGCAGCTGTGGTCTGTAGAGAGCTGGACTGTGGCTCTGCTGTTTCTGTAGGACAGAAAGAGGAGTCCTCAATCAGACCTGTGTGGTGGATCTGGTCTCACTGTGTTCCGTCTGGATCTGCTCTGATGGACTGTGTAAAATCATCTTCCTCTTCCACCATCCTGGATCTCACCTGTTCTGGTAAGCACTTCAATGACATCATCTATGACATCATCAATGACAGTAATATCTCCAGGCAACACATTCTCGCTCCAAGTTCATCACATATAGACACTTGGTCAATGGCTTTTAACTCCCTGGTTGCCCCTGAGCGTTTTTGGATGCGTAGGGCTCAGAGGTTAGGTTAGCAACAATAAATATGCAACGTCTGGGTAGACTTTCAAAATAAAACACATGGTTAATGTTGTGAAATGTCGCAGTTTGGTTAGGTTTAAAAGACATCATGGTTTGGGTTAAAATAACGTTACTTGCATAACTTATACAACCCACATATCTTAATTAAAACTTTCAGTATTGAGATATAAAGATATAATCAAATATTTACAAAAATGTGAGGGGTGTACTCACTTTTGTGAGATACTGTGTGTGTATATATGAAACATACATGTCTGCTGCTTCAGAGGTCCCCGGGGCCAACCACCAACCAGCCTGAAGGGACTCCTTCTTCAGCTTGAAGGCTTTCTTAGCCGCTGGTTTCCACCAGCAGGGTCTTTGGTTGCCTCCATAACAGGCACCAATGACCTACTGGACACAACTTTGGGGAGCTCTGCTCAGCCGGGGGCTCGTCAGTATCTCCACACCCACGTGGCGTCCTCCACCCTGTTAGCTCCTTCAAAGGAGAAAGTCCAGCCCCTATCCCAGTTAGAGTTGTTGGAGCATTTTCTAAACAGGTTTTTATTCTGGGTTACAGATCTTCTTAGAACATTAAGAAAAGTGTTGAACTTGTTTGTGGAGAACCTGAGCAGAAGGAACATTTACTCATTTAACGGACACTTTTAACCAAAGCGCCTTACATTTGCTATACATGTCAGAGATCGCACGCCTCTGGAGTAACGAGGGGTTAAGTGTTTTGCTCAAGGACACAATGGTGGGTCATAGTGGGGGATTGAACCCGGGTCTCTCACACCAAAGGCATAGTCTTATCCATTGCACCATCGCCAGGAACAGAGGAGAGAAATCTGCAGATGATGATGTTGTGCTGTTGTTTGGAAACATGTTGAAAGTGTTCAGACGTGGAGAACAAGTGTGACAGAGTATTAAATGTTAATGTGCTGGTGAACTTGCTGCAGTCTGTGCTGTTAGAAAGATGTGTTCTGTTGTTAATGATGAACTGATGTTGGAGTTGTGCTGAGTCCACTTTGAATCACTCAGTTGTTGTTTCATGACATGTTTTTCTTTTGTGTCTGGTGTCTTTATCTCTATTTCATCTTCTATTATCTCTCCAGACTCTGTCAGGCTGCTGGACGGGACTAGTCTGTGCTCAGGCAGACTGGAGGTGAAGTCTAACCAGTCTAACCAGTCTAACCAGAGGTGGTCCTCAGTGTGTGAAGCTGACTTTGACCAGCAGGATGCAGAGGTGGTCTGTAGGGAGCTCGGCTGTGGGGCTCCTTCAGGTCTCCAGGGGGTGCTCTATGGAGAAGTGGAGGCTCCGATGTGGACCAAAGAGTTCCAGTGTGGAGGCCATGAGTCTGCTCTCCTGGACTGTAGAAGCTCAGGCTCAGCTAGAAACACCTGCTCACCTGGAAAAGCTGTTGGACTCACCTGCTCAGGTAGAAGAGGGATCTGTGTATGGTTCGTTCTTTCATTGTTTCGTTTCAAAATCAAATCGGAAAAACAAAGAAAATTAATCGTTTTGTTGGTTTTTCTGTTTTAAAACCAAAACAGAAAAATGCAAAACCAAATAACCAGACATCTGTTAGGTTTTTCCCATAACTGAAAACAAAGGAGCTGCGTTTTGTTCTACGTTTGACCGGTGTGGTATCCCTACAACCTGTTCTCACTCGTCACTTATGGCATGGTCAAGGCCTATCGGTGTCTGTAACGCACTGGGGCTCCCTATAGTGTTAGGTCAACGCAGTGTGGCACCACAGGCCTATTATAGCCACATGTGAAAAAAGAAATATTAGAATATAGGCTACTTGTTTTGCAAGATTGCGTCAAGCTGGAGGAGCCATTCCTAGTTTAAGTACGTCAGTGTGGTGCTGCTAGAGTGTTGTTTTAAACTGTAATGGTCAAATGCACATATGTTATACACCACATCAGCATCAAGGAAGCATTTTGTTTTGGGCTGGTCTGAAGCAGCTGGTTGTCAGGAGTGGCTCTGCCTTCTCCCCCATCCTTTAGTTTCTTGTGTTTCCCCCTCCCTGCTGTCTTTGCCTGTCTCTGTCAGTCTGTGTGTGTTGTGGGCGTGTCTTCCTTGCTCCCTCTCTCTGGCTCACCACCTGCAGCTCCACTCACCTGAGGCTCAGCAATCAACCCACTCTGCTAAAAGCCCGGCTCTTCAGTCACTCCCTGCCAGTTCGTCAGTTAACCTACCATGGTAACATGCGTTCCAGTCCTCTTAGTTTTTGCTTTTGCTCTAGTTACTCTTGCTTGCCTTTTTTGCTGACGCCTGTTTCCCTTTGCCTGCCTACAGTGTGTGAGTTTGGAGACACAGCCTGCCAGCCTGGAGAGAGCCCTGTCTTCGCTTCAACATCCTCAAAGAAGCCCGAGACTCCCGCTCCGCCCAGCCCGCTTGCTTTCCCCCAAGTCCAGGATTTGTTCGTGGTTAACTCGAGGTTCCCCTGCCGGTGGACTACACACCACATCTGTACTCAGTGTTAATGATGAAGTATTAATACACACCACTTCATAAAATATGTTTAGATTTCAGCCTGATTTGTTCCTCTGCGGCTGCACTGAAGTTCTGAACACAACAGCATCACGTTCAGACAGCGAGTCCTGCAGCCTCGGGGATTTAGAGAGGAATCTTAATTAATTAACAGGACAGTTTCTTAGATGGAGCCCATCTGTAGGCTATAATTGAGTTCTGCTGAGTGTTTTCACATATTTAGATTGACTATTTTACGTGGCAGAAATTACGGGGTGGGGGTTAATAAACCAAGAAAAAAAAATCCTAGATGCAGGTTTCAAATTTACAAGAAGAAAAATCTGAAAATTCCCTGAAATTAAAGTCACAAAAAAGCAAAACTCTAGTGTTTTCGTCTGAAGACGCCCAATCCACGGAAAGGTTTTTAAGGTGCATGATAGAGACTGTGGGCTAAACTCAGGAGTATTTCCTCACTACTGAATCCGATCGTGAAGTTTAATATAACTTTCCACTGCACATAATTGGCCTGCACGGCAGACGTGTGTGTGAGATGTTGCAGCTTTGCAAAGTGAAGCTGCTCTCATGAATGTGTGACTATAATGTCAGAGAATATTCAAGTTTTTTACTTGTAGATTAATCTTGGAAATTAAATTCTGTCTCAGATTATTCCCCCTCTCCTCTGGCTCCTTGTTTTTTTTTATTACAATGGACCTTATGTGCAGTTGTACCGTTACATCTTAATCATATTGCACATAAAAGAAGAGCCCATAAAATACATAATAAGAGATTAGAACTACAATAAGAACACTGTAAAGAGAATTAGGCTACAAATTTACTCAATGCGATGCCAACAAGCCTCCCTGGCTTTGTCGGCAACCACGATATTAGATTTAGCCGTTAACTTGTCTTTATATTCATAATTTCCTGGCACTACCAATGTGCGTTCCTTTGGAGAAATACGGAGCATGCTCCGTTGTGAAAAAACTCTGCCTGCACGGCCGAACACGCCACTTTTATGTGAACGCGCACCAACTCCAATGAAGTTAACTCGGACTCAACTAACCAACATCTTATCCCCCTTCGTAGTACCTTTTAACTCCAGTGTAGGCGGTCAGTTTGTCAACCCTGAGTTTCAAATTATTATTATTTTGATGGTGTAATATTTTAGTAATTGTTTTGTTTTTACATTTGACACTGATTTTTTAATTTTTTAATTTTATTATTAGTTTTTAATCAATTGATTTTTTTTTTTAATTTTGTCTATTAATATGTATACACACACGTTACTGTTTCATTTATTTATTTTATTTTTATATATTTTTATTAACACACACACACATGCTTACTGTTTTATTTACTTATTTTAATTTAAAAAAAATTGTAACACACACACACACAAACACACGTTTACTGTTTTATTTATTTATTTTATTTTTAATGTTTTTTAAATAATAATAATAATAATAAATTGAATTTGTACAGCGCTTTTCACGAACTCAAAGTCGCTTTACAGAGCAGATAAAGAAACAGCTAGGGATAGGCAGAGGAGAAGTGATCCGTTGCTCCTAACCCATGTGTTCCCAGAGGCTCTCCGCAACTTTCTAAATTCTTCCATCTCAGAAAATAAAGGTCAAGTCAAAACAGTGTAGCCAAAAGAGACGAAATTTACGAACGAAAATTACCCAAACCTTTCAATCAGTGTGATTCGTCAATAGGCTATACAGCTTGTCAAATTCACTAATTACAGTTCATGTTTGCTGTGTAGCCTACCATTTGATGTAGCCTAGTGACAATCATCAGTGAATTCATTTTAAGTTGAAGAAATCTTAAAAAGCAGAGGATTCTCAGGAAAGCGTTCCAGTTGCTAGTGAGTTATAAAACTGAATGTTGAGCCAATAGCAGCCTCCGGTACTGCAGCTATATAGCCTAATATTGTCCTGTTTTTCAAAAAACCCCGCTTATGTTGATGGTCAAGCTCATCTTAATTACATTTAATCAATCACCGCCATCGCCCATGTGCTGCTGCAGGTTTATCAAATGTAAAACACAAAGCTACAGAAATCTGACTCATGAGGCCTAAATAATTTTTTTCGCTGTCTTATTTTCTGATTCTGGTATTGAAATGAAATGATCAAAGAACGAACCATACATGGATTAAGAGGAGCTGCAGCTTTGATTTGTTTCATTTCTGTTCTGATGAAACTCACTTTCTTGTTTTACTGATGACTCTCTGGTTTCTGTTCAGAGCCTGATGATGTCAGGTTGGTGGGAGGAGCCAGTCGCTGTGCAGGAACACTGGAGTTGAAACATCAGGGAGTCTGGAGACCAGTGATTAACTCTGCCTCTATCTGGACCCGGAAGGAAGCAGCTGTTGTCTGTAGAAAGCTGGACTGTGGCTCTGCTGTTTCTGTAGGAGAGAGAAAGGAGTCCTCAGACAGACCTGTGTGGCGGATCAGGTCTGACTGTGTTCAGTCTGAATCTTCTCTGAGGGAGTGTGTAAAATCAGATTACTTTTCCTTCATCCTGGATCTCACGTGCTCAGGTAAGCCCATCAGACATCATCTATGCGATCATATGTGACAGTAATGTCTCCAGCGTGTCCTCTCCTCTGTCTCAGTGTCTCAGTGGTTTCCATTGGACTGAACTGTAAAGTTCTCCAGGACAGTGACGTCCTAAAGTGTAGAGAGGTGGGCTTGTTTCTGGAAGCTTCACCTGACAGGACACACCTGGAGGAACCTGTCTGTCTGTCTGTCTCTGTGTTTGGGGACGTCCCACCAGGTGGATCCAGTCCCTGCTTTCACAGTCTGTCATCGCTCTGCTCCATGTTTGTCAGACCTGTGACATCACTTCCTTTTTCAGGGGCCATTTTGTTGAACGGAGGGTGAATGTGACCTTTCATCATCTGTGTGTTGACAGACATCTCTGTGTCCTCCTCCGTGGACGGGGTCTCCGAGGCCCAGCAGCAGGGCTTTCAGGTGTCCAGGGGCTCCACCTTCAACATCAGCTGCTCCATCCAGCCACAGTACCCAGGAGGCTCCTTCCAGCTCGCCTTCACCTCCTCCAATGCATCACACAACTACACCCAGCCAGCTGTCAATCACTCTGCCCACTTCCTGTTTCCTGCTGCAGAGCCCGCCCACCAAGGAAGCTACATCTGTGTTTATCACTTCCATGTCTTTTCTCATGACTTCTCCTCTGAGAGCCGTCGGCTGTCTCTCACTGTCTCAGGTAAGCTGAAGCAGAGCAGCTGAAACGTCACACTGACTGTTTCCATGCAGGTTCTGGAAATGATGATCCGTCCAAACTGACGCAGGTGTTGTCTGTTATACTAATAAATACTAAATATTAAGTAATAATACTAAACTAAGTAATAATAATAAATACTACAGTTGTATGTTTCCCACATCACTTCAACAGCTAACGTGACCCATATTACTATCCTGTGTAACCGGTATTATATCAAGTGTTGATTTTAGCCAGCAAGAAATGATGTAACGACGGTACAAAGGAAATGTGAAGCCATGTGTTTACACTAGCCTATAGTGATGCAGGACAGCCAGCTAGATCCCAGATCTGGCGTTGTTAGCTTTGTAATGTTCAATTTAGATTTATTGTCATTTTACTGACTACACTCAGGTACACAGCTTTAACACCAATCTGAGTCACTGTAAGTTACAATACCCACATAGTATACAATAATGCGACATAAAGGTGCAAGACTAGCTAAATGACTAATGTACCCACTCAGTACAGTAATGTTACTCACCACGGTCTAGCTGTAGAAGTTGCCACACTTTATAAAGTGTTATGTTTACCACTTGGTTAGGTTTTTAAAAAACATCATGGTTTGGGTTAAAACAACAACATTACAAGAACGAATCCAGGAGAGAGCTGTCGATGGGATAGGCGGTCAAGGAGAATAGTATGGGAGATTGTGTCTAAGGCTGTGGAGATTGTGTCTAAGGCTGTTTTAGCCAATTCCAGAATTGTATTGAGGAACAGAAGGTTGGAGATCAGCCGGTAGTTGCTGGCATGCTCCGGATTCAAGCCTGGCCTCTTGAGAATAGAGGGAGTAGGAGGGATGTTGTGATAGGAGCTGCCGTTTGCGGATGTTAGAACACTTTTTACCACGCTCAGCTTGACCCAGTTCCACATTCTACTCCCTAACCTGCTTGTCTGCTCTTGTCTCCTGTGCTTTGTCTGCAGATTGCGCCGCACCAAGTGATTCTGACTCGACTGCAGGGGGTGGGGCTTCAGGTGAACCCAAACTGCCTGATGGCCGCTCCTCGGCCCGCTCGGCCAGCCGGCCCAAGTCAGCTCGTTCGCTGGCCTCTAGACAAGACCGAACCAAATGTCCTTCGGCCCCACAACCAAAACACGTCATTGTATCAGAAGTCACATACACCACATAACTGAAACCATCAACTTTAAAACTGAACGTCAGGTTTAAGTCATTCGTGCTGTCTTTTGGAATCATAAACACCTAACGACTATGACAGACAACATGTTTTAATTTCGACAATTTGCACCCTAGCAAAATCAATTTATTAGAAGACACCAGCTGCCTGTAGCGCGACAGTTCTTTGGCCAACTCGTCATTTTTTATGAAAGGAGGAGCGTTAGAAATCATGATCTTTTTGGCTGCATTAATCAGTGGGAGAACACCATTTTCAACTACTGTCTCAAATTTAGCCACATCATCCAGAAAAATGACAACTGTGCCGTTCATGTGAGTGTTAGATTTCACACTGTCAAACCCCACAACCTCTCCAACAGCACTGCGGACATCTTCCACTGAACAGCCAACACAAGGCATAATTTTATTATTATTATTGTGTTTTTCGAGATGTAAATGCATTCAGACATGTGCTTTGATATCAACAGTATGAATGAGGAAATGAAACTGTGTGTCAGACAGCCGCCTCAGGCTCCACAGGAGGGGAGGAGTTTCCCAAGTTATAGAACCACTAATGCCCTCAAAAGAGAAGGAGCCTAGTTCAATTTACCCTTCGCTAAGCCACGCCCCAAATACACAGCTAGCCAATCACAGCGCAGCATAGACTCTCTCTGAGGTCCGACACTTTCATGGCTGGACTCCACTCGTATGCAAAAGGAGTCGTTCTCTAGCTTGGTTTTGCTAGACCAGAGCCAACAGGTCTGGTTCAACCAGAGAGGTTGAAAGGAGAAGTACGATTAATTCCCTTTCCAAAACCTAAAACAAATCCAGAAAAATGTAGGCTGTGTATTGTTCCTAATGTAAAAAAATTAGACAATAGTGGCAGTAACAAAGGGGGGCGTTGCTTAGCGAAGGGTCAATTGGACCTTCTCATGCCAACAAGCTTTTGAAACCCTCAAGCATCATCTGGTTTCACCCCCCATCCTTGAACATCCTTATTTCCAGTTACCATTCATAACCTACACGGTTGCAAGCTACATTGGATTAGGAGCTGTCCTAGCCCAACAGACTGGCCTTGGTACAGAACAAGTCCTTGCCCTTGCCAGTAAAATACTGGATCAGGTTGAAAGAAAAGTACTCCACGACTGAGCAGGAATACCTTGAAGTTGTTTGGGAACTTGAACAATGGAGATATTATTTGGAAGGTTGCCAATTTACAATAGTAACTGATCATTCATCTCTGGTCTGGGTTTTCAAAACCCAAAAACCCAACACTAATGAGAGGGGCCTTCACCTTCGAATATGTAGGGGTGGTGATGGAACAGTAAATAAAACATGTACCTTTGGTGTGAGAGACCCAGGTTCAAGTCCACTGTGAAACACCAATGTGTCCCTGAGCAAGACACTTAACCCCTAGTTGTTCCAGAGGCGTGCGACCTGACATATCTGACAAATCTGACATATATAGCAATTGTAAGTCACTTTCGATAAAACCGTCAGCTGAATGAAGGAAATGAAAGAATATCAGAAAGTAAAATATCACACTGTACCAGATGCCTTGTCACGAGCACCACTTGTGCTATCCTCCTAGAAAGATATCACCAAAGACCTACAAATCCCTGACAATGAACTCTGGGAAGCTCAGCAGAAGGACTCCAACATCCAATGGCTCTATAACCAAATCATGGAAAAAGAAGCCACTGAAACCCAAACAACCAAATTCACTATTCATGAAGAAGTCAAACTGTCACAGTATGCAGAGAATAACAATATACACATTATGGTATAGCCTGTACTCTTTTGCTCCCCTCAAGACCCGGGCTGTCTCTTTCTCCCATCCTGCCCCCTGGTTCACTACTAAACTTAGCTCCATTAAGGCCACTGGTCGCCATCTGGAGAGGCTTCATAAAAAATCTGGCCTCACTGTCCACCTAGAGGCCTTGAAAGACCATGTGTGAGGTCTTTTGTGGACATCATAAACACTTCTATCTTATCTGGCTTGGTACCCTCCTGCTTCAAAACAGCTAGCGTTACCCCTATTTTCAAAAAGCCCAGTTTGGACCTGGATGACCTCGACAACTACCGTCCGATCTATAACCTTCCCTTTATGAGCAAAATCCTAGAAAGTGCAGTCGTTGCCCAACTTCATCAACACATGTCCCACTATGATCTCTATGAACCCCTTCAATCTGGCTTCAGAGCACTGAGACTGTCCTCATCAAAATCACTAATGACCTCCTCATCGTCGCTGATTCTGGACATATCAGCATCCTCATTCTTCTAGATCTCTAAGCAGCCTTTGACACAGTTTCTCATACCATCCTTCTCAACCGTCTATCTGAATGCGTTGGCCTTACCGGTTCAGCACTCTCCTGGTTCCAGTTATATCTCTCCAATGGGAAACAGTTCATCACCTTTAGAGGCTCCAGCTCCTGAGGGTAGGTGATCTACTTCTCAATGTGTTGCTCCGTCTCTCCATCCCAAGAAGTCCGCAACCTTGGTGTCATTTTGGACTCCACCCTTTCCTTCCAGTCACATGTCAAACTCATTACCAAATCTGCTTTCGACCACCTCAAAAACAATCTGCGGCAGAGTCATTCATCCATGCCTTCATCACCTCCTGCTTGGACTACTATAATGGTGTCCTGTATGGGGTACCCAGCAAGGTCCTGGACAGGCTACAATTTTTGCAGAACTCGGCTGCCAGGGTTCTCACACACACTAGTTTGTTGCAGCACATCACTCCAATCCTCACTCAGCTTCACTGGCTCCCATTCGCATAACCTACAAAATCCTACTCCTCACCTATACATCTTCCCATGCCACTGCCCCCGAGTACCTACTGGGCCTTCTCCACCACTATACCCCTACACAAAACCTGCAGTCCACTGACAAGGGCCTACTCTTTGTCCCCCACACCGCAGATGCAGATGCTGATGTGGATTTTTGGGGACGGAGCCTTCAGCGTCGCATGCCCCCCCCTCTGGAACTCCATCCCCACAGAGATCCGAAATGCTCCCTCTCTGGACTCTTTCAAAACCTTCTAAAAACCCACCTCTTCACAAAGGCATTTAACCCTATTGTTCCGTCTCTGCAATTCTGTGTAAATCGCCCATGGGTCTTGTGAAAGGCGCTATATAAATATAAGTTGTTGTTATTATTATTAGTTAGACAAAATTACCCAGAGCAAACGACCAGAATATCGTAACAACATGTTTGCACCATCATTCAGCACTGACTGTCAAATCAGATAATCTTTCAGTTTTCACATCAATCTCAAGGGACAATAATAACTACTCTACTAATAAATTCTAAATTTAAGTAAACTAAAATAACGTGCTAAATTTCAGGAAAAAAAAGAAATAAAAAGTGTAGCTTGAAGTGATTGAAGTGTAGTTTCAAACAATTTTACAATAAACGCTCAACACAACTTAACAAATTACCAGTTTTTATGCCTCGTCTACTCTTTTACAACCTCATATACACCACTTTCCTACTTTCTCTTGTAAGTAAGAAATGTGAGCTCTAGCGTGTCCTGCCATCTAGGATTGGAGATCTATGAGATATTCTGGTTTTGAACTGCCTGTGGAAAGAATATACATGTAAGAATCTGTACATTCTTAATTAAAAGCCATGTGAAATCTCTTTCCTCTTTTGTCTCCTCAATTCGTGTGTGGCTGGAAGCTTCACCTGTCCTTCGCGAGGTAGTAATTCTCAATAATACATTGGCTGTAGGTCAGCGGTCCGGAGAGAACGGCGGCTGGGTCCAGTCCGCCTATTAGTGACCTCTGGTCTAGGGGTTTGGTCTGTGCAAAATGATGGTCACTGCCTAAGTTACAGTCTTATTGGTTGCTAGAAAAAAGAAGTGTTCTGTTGTTAATGATGAACTGATGTTGGAGTTGTGCTGAGTCCAGTTTGAATCACTGAATTGTTGTTGACATGTTTTTATTTTGTGTCTGGTGTCTTTATCTCTATTTCATCTTCTGTCATCTCTCCAGACTCTGTCAGGCCGAAGAACGGGACTAGTATGTCTAACTCAGGTAAGCCCATCAGTGATATTATCTATGACATCATGTGTGACAGTAATGTCTCCAGTGTGTCCTCTCCTCTGTCTCAGTGTCAGTCAGTGGTTTCCATTGGACTGAACTGTAAAGTTCTCCAGGACAGTGACGTCCTAAAGTGTAGAGAGGTGGGCTTGTTTCTGGAAGCTTCACCTGACAGGACACACCTGGAGGAATCTGTCTCTCTGTCTGTCTCTGTGTTTGGGGACGTCCCACCAGGTGGATCCAGTCCCTCCTTTTACAGTCTGTCATCGCTCTGCTCCATGTTTGTCAGACCTGTGACATCACTTCCTTTTTCAGGGGCGCTTTTGTTGAACGGAGGGTGAATGTGACCTTTCATCATCTGTTTGTTATAAGAACGTCTCTGGTGAATCTCACTCGCGGACTCGACTCGCAGTTTTTATCGAAATGCACAGATTTGATTTGCTGAGCAGCATCACATGAAACGATTGGAACACATGCAGTGGGTCTTTGAGTTTCCTGGGCCGCCAAACCAGTACAGTAAATGGTAGAAAAGCAGTGCGGGTTCAAGTAGAAATGCTCCTTCAGAAGGTAGCAATTCCCAATAATAAATCGGCGGCGGTCCGGAGAGAACGGCGGCTGGGTCCGGACTGCGGTCCGCCTATTAGTGACCTCTGGTCTAGGGGTTTGGTCTGTGCAAAATGATGGTCACTGCATAAGTTACAGTCTTATTGGTTGCTAGAAAAAAGAAGTGTTCTGTTGTTAATGATGAACTGATGTTGGAGTTGTGCTGAGTCCAGTTAGAATCACTGAATTGTTGTTGACATGTTTTTATTTTGTGTCTGGTGCAGGGACGTGCACAGGGGGGTTGCTCTGGTTGCCCGGGCAACTGCCCGTTTGCCTTTCCTGACTCAAGTTGCCCTTCCGACTCGCCCTTCCGAGAAAAAAAATAAAATAAAAACATAATCGCGATCGCAAAGCCTCATTCACTTCCATTCGGGCACCGAAAGTGAAAGTCAGTAGGGGAAGGGCAAACTCTGTTTAAGTGGCTGCACTGCTGCAGCGCTGCCTGCACGTCAGTCGATTCTGTTCCCTACCGGAATTCCTGTTTCCTTCCTTTATGCAATCATACTACAACAAATCATGCGTAGTTTTGCCCAGTTACCATACGTGATACGTACCAACAGAAGTGAATACGAGCTAGAAGCGCAACTGAATGTACGGGAAGCCAAAAGGTTAAAAAAGGATTGTATTTTTTTCCGAAATCTAAGCGTTTTTTTATTTAATATTTTATTAGAAGCGAGTTTTCCCCATCTGTCAATTCAATCTAGATTATTTATTTTCAAATAAAAAAAAAAAGGAAAAAAAATAAAAAATAATAATGATTAAAAAAAACAATAAACAATAATATAAGGAACTCTTTTTCTCATATGTATTTTGGTGACATTTATATTGTTAATACATTTTGGATACTGTGTTTAGTGCCTTTTTTCAGGTCAGAGCAACTGCCCTTCAAAATTCCTGTGCACGTCCCTGGTCTGGTGTCTTTATCTCTATTTCATCTTCTGTCATCTCTCCAGACTCTGTCAGGCCAAAGAACGAGACTAGTCTGTCTAACTCAGGTAAGCCCATCAGTGATATTTTCTGTCTCACTGTTTTAACCACACCCTCGACCTTGTTTTGGTGTATGGTATTGAAATTGAACATTTAGTGGTGTTCCCACAGAATCCCTCTTTGTCCGACCACTGTTTGATAACTTTTGAGTTTGTATTGCTGAACTACTCGCCATTGGGCAAAAATTTCCATACAAGATGTCTGTCTGATAGTGCTATAGCTAAATTTAAGGATGCGATTCCATCAGCTCTAAATACATTATCTAGTCACAAAGTAACGGAGGACTCCTATGCTAGTTTCAGTCCCTCCCAAATCGATCATCTTGTTGATAGTGCTGCAGGCTCGCTGCGAATGACACTTGACTCTGTAGCCCCTCTAAAATAGAAAATAATAAAACAAAGACGGTTAGCTCCATGGTATAATACTGAAACTCGCAAATTAAATCAAATATTGCGGAAACTTGAGAGGAATTGGCGTTCCACCAAGTGGAAAATTCTCGTTTAATTTGGCAAGGTAGTCTTAAAACTTATAGGAAGGCCCTCCGTAATGCTAGAGCAGCGTACTACTCGTCATTAATAGAGGAAAATAGGAACAACCCCAAGTTTCTTTTCAGCACTGTAGCCAGGCTGACAGAGAGTCACAGCTCTATTGAGCCGAGTATTCCCATAGCTCTCAGTAGTTACGATTTCATGAGCTTCTTTAATGATAAAATTCTAGCTATTAGAGACAAAATTCACCAAGACCTGCCCTCAACTGGCACCAACTTATCTCTTAACTCAGTAACCTTAGAAACAGCTGTAGAACCAGATACATGTTTAGACTGTTTTGCTTCCCTCAATCTTTACCAACTAACTTCAACTTCAATTGCAGAGACTGGAATATTTCATTGGCATTAAAGGAACCGCTCTAAGCTGGTTTAAGTCCTATTTATCAGATCGATTTCAGTTTGTACATGTTAACGATGAGTCCTCCATTCATAACCTACACGGTTGCAAGCTACATTGGATTAGGAGCTGTCCTAGCCCAACAGACTGGCCTTGGTGCAGAACAAGTCCTTGCCCTTGCCAGTAAAATACTGGATCAGGTTGAAAGAAAAGTACTCCACGACTGAGCAGGAATACCTTGAAGTTGTTTGGGAACTTGAACAATGGAGATATTATTTGGAAGGTTGCCAATTTACAATAGTAACTGATCATTCATCTCTGGTCTGGGTTTTCAAAACCCAAAAACCCAACACTAATGAGAGGGGCCTTCACCTTCGAATATGTAGGGGTGGTGATGGAACAGTAAATAAAACATGTACCTTTGGTGTGAGAGACCCAGGTTCAAGTCCACTGTGAAACACCAATGTGTCCCTGAGCAAGACACTTAACCCCTAGTTGTTCCAGAGGCGTGCGACCTGACATATCTGACAAATCTGACATATATAGCAATTGTAAGTCACTTTCGATAAAACCGTCAGCTGAATGAAGGAAATGAAAGAATATCAGAAAGTAAAATATCACACTGTACCAGATGCCTTGTCACGAGCACCACTTGTGCTATCCTCCTAGAAAGATATCACCAAAGACCTACAAATCCCTGACAATGAACTCTGGGAAGCTCAGCAGAAGGACTCCAACATCCAATGGCTCTATAACCAAATCATGGAAAAAGAAGCCACTGAAACCCAAACAACCAAATTCACTATTCATGAAGAAGTCAAACTGTCACAGTATGCAGAGAATAACAATATACACATTATGGTATAGCCTGTACTCTTTTGCTCCCCTCAAGACCCGGGCTGTCTCTTTCTCCCATCCTGCCCCCTGGTTCACTACTAAACTTAGCTCCATTAAGGACACTGGTCGCCATCTGGAGAGGCTTCATAAAAAATCTGGCCTCACTGTCCACCTAGAGGCCTTGAAAGACCATGTGAGGTCTTTTGTGGACATCATAAACACTTCTATCTTATCTGGCTTGGTACCCTTCTGCTTCAAAACAGCTAGCGTTACCTCTATTTTCAAAAAGCCCAGTTTGGACCTGGATGACCTCGACAACTACCGTCCGATCTATAACCTTCCCTTTATGAGCAAAATCCTAGAAAGTGCAGTCGTTGCCCAACTTCATCAACACATGTCCCACTATGATCTCTATGAACCCCTTCAATCTGGCTTCAGAGCACTGAGACTGTCCTCATCAAAATCACTAATGACCTCCTCATCGTCGCTGATTCTGGACATATCAGCATCCTCATTCTTCTAGATCTCTAAGCAGCCTTTGACACAGTTTCTCATACCATCCTTCTCAACCGTCTATCTGAATGCGTTGGCCTTACCGGTTCAGCACTCTCCTGGTTCCAGTTATATCTCTCCAATGGGAAACAGTTCATCACCTTTAGAGGCTCCAGCTCCTGAGGGTAGGTGATCTACTTCTCAATGTGTTGCTCCGTCTCTCCATCCCAAGAAGTCCGCAACCTTGGTGTCATTTTGGACTCCACCCTTTCCTTCCAGTCACATTTCAAACTCATTACCAAATCTGCTTTCGACCACCTCAAAAACAATCTGTGGCAGAGTCATTCATCCATGCCTTCATCACCTCCTGCTTGGACTACTATAATGGTGTCCTGTATGGGGTACCCAGCAAGGTCCTGGACAGGCTACAATTTTTGCAGAACTCGGCTGCCAGGGTTCTCACACACACTAGTTTGTTGCAGCACATCACTCCAATCCTCACTCAGCTTCACTGGCTCCCATTCGCATAACCTACAAAATCCTACTCCTCACCTATACATCTTCCCATGCCACTGCCCCCGAGTACCTACTGGGCCTTCTCCACCACTATACCCCTACACAAAACCTGCAGTCCACTGACAAGGGCCTACTCTTTGTCCCCCACACCGCAGATGCAGATGCGGATTTTTGGGGACGGAGCCTTCAGCGTCGCATGCCCCCCCCTCTGGAACTCCATCCCCACAGAGATCCGAAATGCTCCCTCTCTGGACTCTTTCAAAACCTTCTAAAAACCCACCTCTTCACAAAGGCATTTAACCCTATTGTTCCGTCTCTGCAATTCTGTGTAAATCGCCCTTGGGTCTTGTGAAAGGCGCTATATAAATATAAGTTGTTGTTGTTATTATTATTATTGGTTAGACAAAATTTCCCGAAGCAAAGGACCAGAATATCGTAACGACATATTTGCGCTATCATTCAGCACTGACTGTCAAATCAGATAATCTTTCAGTTTTCACATCAAACTCAAGGGACAATAATAACTACTCTACTAATAAATTCTCAATTTAAGTAAACTAAAATAACGTGCTAAATTTCAGGGAAAAAAATGAAATAAAAAGTGTAGCTTGAAGTGATTGAAGTGTAGTTTCAAACAATTTTACAATAAACACTCAACACAACTAAACAAATTACCAGTTTTAACGCCTCGTCTACTCTTTTACAACCTCATATACACCACTTTCCTACTTTCTCTTGTAAGTAAGAAATGTGAGCTCTAGCGTGTCCTGCCATCTAGGATTGGAGATCTATGATATATTCTGGTTTTGAACTGCCTGTGGGAAGAATATACATGTAAGAATCTGTACATTCTTAATTAAAAGCCATGTGAAATCTCTTTCCTCTTTTGTCTCCTCAATTCGTGTGGCTGGAAGCTTCACCTGTCCTTCGCGAGGTAGTAATTCTCAATAATACATTGGCTGTAGGTCAGCGGTCCGGAGAGAACGGCGGCTGGGTCCAGTCCGCCTATTAGTGACCTCTGGTCTAGGGGTTTGGTCTGTGCAAAATGATGGTCACTGCATAAGTTACAGTCTTATTGGTTGCAAGAAAAAAGAAGTGTTCTGTTGTTAATGATGAACTGATGTTGGAGTTGTGCTGAGTCCAGTTTGAATCACTGAATTGTTATTGACATGTTTTTATTTTGTGTCTGGTGTCTTTATCTCTATTTCATCTTCTGTCATCTCTCCAGACTCTGTCAGGCCGAAGAACGAGACTAGTCTGTCTAATTCAGGTAAGCCCATCAGTGACATCATCTATGACATCATGTGTGACAGTAATGTCCTCTCCTCTGTCTCAGTGTCTCAGTGGTTTCCATTGGACTGAACTGTAAAGTTCTCCAGGACAGTGACGTCCTAAAGTGTAGAGAGGTGGGCTTGTTTCTGGAAGCTTCACCTGACAGGACACACCTGGAGGAATCTGTCTCTCTGTCTGTCTCTGTGTTTGGGGACGTCCCACCAGGTGGATCCAGTCCCTCCTTTTACAGTCTGTCATCGCTCTGCTCCATGTTTGTCAGACCTGTGACATCACTTCCTTTTTCAGGGGCGCTTTTGTTGAACGGAGGGTGAATGTGACCTTTCATCATCTGTTTGTTATAAGAACGTCTCTGGTGAATCTCACTCGCGGACTCGACTCGCAGTTTTTATCGAAATGCACAGATTTGATTTGCTGAGCAGCATCACATGAAACGATTGGAACACATGCAGTGGGTCTTTGAGTTTCCTGGGCTGCCAAACCAGTACAGTAAATGGTAGAAAAGCAGTGCGGGTTCAAGTAGAAATGCTCCTTCAGAAGGTAGCAATTCCCAATAATAAATCGGCGGCGGTCCGGACTGCGGTCCGCCTATTAGTGACCTCTGGTCTAGGGGTTTGGTCTGTGCAAAATGATGGTCGCTACCTAAGTTATAGTCTTATTGGTTGCAAGAAAAAAGAAGTGTTCTGTTGTTAATGATGAACTGATGTTGGAGTTGTGCTGAGTCCAGTTTGAATCACTGAATTGTTATTGACATGTTTTTATTTTGTGTCTGGTGTCTTTATCTCTATTTCATCTTCTGTTTCTCTCCAGACTCTGTCAGGCCGAAGAACGAGACTAGTCTGTCTAACTCAGGTAAGCCCATCAGTGACATCATCTATGACATCATGTGTGACAGTAATGTCTCCAGTGTGTCCTCTCTCTTATCTCTAAACTCAGGAACCTTAGGATTTAGAGTTCATCATAGGACAGAGACAGCACTGGTAAAAATTACTAATGACCTCCAAACTGCATCAGACAAAGGTCTTGTCTCTGTACTGGTTTCATTAGATCTTAGCGCTGCATTTAATAATGATAATGAATTACATTTATATAGCGCTTTATCATAGAAACAGAAGTCACTGAAACCCCAACAACCAAGTTCACTATTCTTGAAGAAGTCCAACTGTCACAGTATGAAGAGAATAACAACATACACATTATGCTATATGTGTGTGTGTGCGTGTAAATATATATATATAATCTATAATTGATTAATATACAGTAACATTATTTACAAACTAAGGCAGTGGTTCTCAAAGTGGGGTCCGGGGGTGGGGTCCTTCAGGGGGCTCCAGGGTGTTCCCAGCAAAAGGGAAACAAAATTTTTCACTATAATTCCATCCATAAGTAACACAATGACAGAATGTATGACTATTTTGTTCATGGGTTTTATACCCTTTCTGTGGGGTGGTGATGGAGCAGTGGATAAGACGCATGCCTTTGGTTTGAGAGACCCGGATTCAATTCCCCACTGTCCACCAATGTGTCTGTGAGCAAGACACTTAAACCCTTGCTGCTCCAGATGTTTGCGACCTCTGACATATATAGCAATTGTAAGTCGCTTTGGATAAAAGCGTCAGCTAATTGAATAAATGTAAATGTTTCTGTGATAAAACATCTAAAAGCGAAACACTATCAGATGGGCGACGCCAGACAAAATCTTATCAAATGGGGGTCCGTTGTCTAATTTGTGTCAGTTTAGGGGTCCTTGACGTGAAAAAGTTTGAGAACCACTGGTCTAGGGCAGGGGTATTGAATTAGAATTCAAAGAGGTCCAGACAACTAGGAAGTCGCCCCAGCTATGTACATAGGGGCTCCTGTTTACATGGACCATGCTATTCCCACTGTTCTGTCGGACAGGCGCTCTGTCGCAGTGAAACATCATCCCAACAGATCACATGTGCGTTCTGTCAGTCTGAGGCCCCTGGTCAGTGTTGATGTTGCTTCTACTACTCTGCCTGCCTCAGCACCAACTAACAGGAATGCAAAGTTCATGTTATTGAACACTCGTTCCCTAAATAACAAAGCACTACTCGTACATGACATCAGTACTGACAGGAAAATTAATTTTCTGTGCTTAACAGAAACTTTGCAAAATCAGAAGGATTTCATGACATTCAACCAAGCCAGCACCCCGGGCTATGTGTACAGACAGAAGCCTCACTCTACGGGCCGTGGTGGTGGTCTGGCTGTTATACATTGAGCTTACATCCCAGTGAAAGAACTTTCACTGCCTAACATTACCTCATTTGAGTGTCTTTGTTTCACATTGGCTGGGTCTGCACAGCTCCAGGTGGTCCTTGTTTATCACCCTCTAAAAACCTCCATCATCTTCATGGGCGAGCTATCAGAGCTACTCATCTCCGTCTGCCCCATGTCTCCATCCACACTCCTGCTCGGGGATTTAATATCCATGTGGACTCTAACAGCTGTCCCTTTGCTGCTGAATTCCTTTCACTATTGGACTGCCTCAACATCATTCAGCATGTCAAAGGTCCCACTCACACCAAAGGTCACACACTGGATCTGGTGTGCTCCACTGGTACCACTCCCTCCCAGCTGCAATGCTTCGACATAGCTGTATCTGACCACAGTGCCATCCTTTTTTATATTCCAGTCCTTCTGCCCAGGCAAACACTCAAACGCAGCATCACATTCAGGAACATCAAGTCTGTTAATACATCATCCCTAGCCAGCACTGTAAGGACCCACCTTGCTTTAGATCCCCCTGACCCCGGGGTGGATGGCCTAGTCGCCCACTACAAATACAGCTTTGTCTCTCAGCCTGGATTCTTTTGGTCCCCTCAAGACCCGGACTGTCTCTTTCTCCCGTCCTGCCCCTTGGTTCGCTACCAAACTTAGCTCCATTAAGGCCACTGGTCGCCAACTTGAGAGGCTTCATAAAAAATCTGGCCTTCAAAGACCATGTGAGGTCTTATAAAGAAGCTCTCTCCAAGGCCAAAACACACTACTATTCCACCCTCATTGGTAACAATCAAAAGCAACCCAGACTGCTCTTCTCCACCATAAACCGGCAGCTCTGCCCTCATGATGCCCCTTGCCCCTTTGACACTCCTAACTTCTGCTCCAAATTCCTGGCTTTCTTTCAGGCAAAAGTGGACTCTATCCATCAACAACTGCTGCCTCCTACTCGTGACCCTCTACCCACAACTCACCCTCACGATGGTGCGACCCCCTCCGCTGCATACTTGCCTCTCCCCCTTCTCCCTTCTGGACATGGCTCAAGTCGTCAAGTTGGTTACCAGAGCCAAGATTTCCACCTGATCACTGGACCCCATGCCTACAATCTTGGTCAAGACGTGCCTCCCTACCCTCTGTCCCATCATGGTGGACATCATAAACACTTCTATCTTATCTGGCTTGGTACCCTCCTGCTTCAAAACAGCTAGCGTTACCCCTATTTTCAAAAAGCCCAGTTTGGACCTGGATGACCTCGACAACTACCGTCCGATCTATAACCTTCCCTTTATGAGCAAAATCCTAGAAAGTGCAGTCGCTGCCCAACTTCATCAACACATGTCCCACTATGATCTCTATGAACCCCTTCAATCTGGCTTCAGAGCACTGAGACTGCCCTCATCAAAATCACTAATGACCTCCTCATCGTCGCTGATTCTGGACATATCAGCATCCTCATTCTTCTAGATCTCTAAGCAGCCTTTGACACAGTTTCTCATACCATCCTTCTCAACCGTCTATCTGAATGCGTTGGCCTTACCGGTTCAGCACTCTCCTGGTTCCAGTTATATCTCTCCAATGGGGAACAGTTTGTCACCTTTAGAGGCTCCAGCTCCCCCCCCCCGGCCCCAGTCAAACAAGGTGTGCCTCAAGGCTCAGTGCTTGGACCCCTCCTTTTCACCATTTACATCCTCCCCCTCGGCCAGATAATAAGTCACCATGGTCTCAGTTTCCACTGTTATGCTGATGACACACAGCTGTATATCAGCACCAAACCATCCACTCAGCTTCCCCCTCTGTCCCTTAACTTTAACTGTCTGTATGAAATAAAAACTTGGATGTCATCCAATCTACTCAAGTTAAACAGCAGCAAAATGGAGCTAATGGTCATGGCTCCCAAGCCGCTGCTCCTGAGGGTAGGTGATCCACTTCTCAATGTGTTGCTCCGTCTCTCCATCCCAAGAAGTCCGCAACCTTGGTGTCATTTTGGACTCCACCCTTTCCTTCCAGTCACATGTCAAACAAATCTGCTTTCGACCACCTCAAAAACATCTCCAGACTTTGACCAGAATCTGCGGCAGAGTCATTCATCCATGCCTTCATCACTTCCTGCTTGGACTACTGTAATGGTGTCCTGTATGGGGTACCCAGCAAGGTCCTGGACAGGCTACAATTTTTGCAGAACTCGGCTGCCAGGGCTCTCACACACACTAGTTTGTGGCAGCACATCACTCCAATCCTCACTCAGCTTCACTGGCTCCCGGTCACATTTGCATAACCTACAAAATCCTACTCCTCACCTATACATCTTTCCATGCCACTGCCCCCGAGTACCTACTGGGCCTTCTCCACCCCTATACCCCCTCACGGAACCTGCAGTCCACCGACAAGGGCCTACTCTTTGTCCCCCACACCAGACTGCAGATTTTTGGGGACGGAGCCTTCAGCATCGCAGCCCCCCCCCCCCCCCCTCTGGAACTCCATCCCCACAGAGATCCGAAATGCTCCCTCTCTGGACTCTTTCAAAAACCTTCTAAAAACCCACCTCTTCACAAAGGCATTTAACCCTAAGTTACTTTTTTATTGTTCTGTCTCTGCAATTCTGTGTAAATCGCCCTTGGGTCTTGTGAAAGGCGCTATATAAATATAAGTTGTTGTTGTTATTATTATTATTATTGGTTAGACAAAATTTCCCGAAGCAAAGGACCAGAATATCGTAACGACATATTTGCGCTATCATTCAGCACTGACTGTCAAATCAGATAATCTTTCAGTTTTCACATCAAACTCAAGGGACAATAATAACTACTCTACTAATAAATTCTCAAATTAAGTAAACTAAAATAACGTGCTAAATTTCAGGGAAAAAAATGAAATAAAAAGTGTAGCTTGAAGTGATTGAAGTGTAGTTTCAAACAATTTTACAATAAACACTCAAAACAACTAAACAAATTACCAGTTTTAACGCCTCGTCTACTCTTTTACAACCTCATATACACCACTTTCCTACTTTCTCTTGTAAGTAAGAAATGTGAACTCTAGCGTGTCCTGCCATCTAGGATTGGAGATCTATGATATATTCTGGTTTTGAACTGCCTGTGGGAAGAATATACATGTAAGAATCTGTACATTCTTAATTAAAAGCCATGTGAAATCTCTTTCCTCTTTTGTCTCCTCAATTCGTGTGGCTGGAAGCTTCACCTGTCCTTCGCGAGGTAGTAATTCTCAATAATACATTGGCTGTAGGTCAGCGGTCCGGAGAGAACGGCGGCTGGGTCCAGTCCGCCTATTAGTGACCTCTGGTCTAGGGGTTTGGTCTGTGCAAAATGATGGTCACTGCATAAGTTACAGTCTTATTGGTTGCAAGAAAAAAGAAGTGTTCTGTTGTTAATGATGAACTGATGTTGGAGTTGTGCTGAGTCCAGTTTGAATCACTGAATTGTTATTGACATGTTTTTATTTTGTGTCTGGTGTCTTTATCTCTATTTCATCTTCTGTTTCTCTCCAGGCTCTGTCAGGCCGAAGAACGAGACTAGTCTGTCTAACTCAGGTAAGCCCATCAGTGACATCATCTATGACATCATGTGTGACAGTAATGTCTCCAGCGTGTCCTCTCTCTTATCTCTAAACTCAGGAACCTTAGGATTTAGAGTTCATCATAGGACAGAGACAGCACTGGTAAAAATTACTAATGACCTCCAAACTGCATCAGACAAAGGTCTTGTCTCTGTACTGGTTTCATTAGATCTTAGCGCTGCATTTAATAATGATAATGAATTACATTTATATAGCGCTTTATCATAGAAACAGAAGTCACTGAAACCCCAACAACCAAGTTCACTATTCTTGAAGAAGTCCAACTGTCACAGTATGAAGAGAATAACAACATACACATTATGCTATATGTGTGTGTGCATGTAAATATATATATAATCTATAATTGATTAATATACAGTAACATTATTTACAAACTAAGGCAGTGGTTCTCAAAGTGGGGTCCGGGGGTGGGGTCCTTCAGGGGGCTCCAGGGTGTTCCCAGCAAAAGGGAAACAAAATTTTTCACTATAATTCCATCCATAAGTAACACAATGACAGAATGTATGACTATTTTGTTCATGGGTTTTATACCCTTTCTGTGGGGTGGTGATGGAGCAGTGGATAAGACGCATGCCTTTGGTTTGAGAGACCCGGATTCAATTCCCCACTGTCCACCAATGTGTCTGTGAGCAAGACACTTAAACCCTTGCTGCTCCAGATGTTTGCGACCTCTGACATATATAGCAATTGTAAGTCGCTTTGGATAAAAGCGTCAGCTAATTGAATAAATGTAAATGTTTCTGTGATAAAACATCTAAAAGCGAAACACTATCAGATGGGCGACGCCAGACAAAATCTTATCAAATGGGGGTCCGTTGTCTAATTTGTGTCAGTTTAGGGGTCCTTGACGTGAAAAAGTTTGAGAACCACTGGTCTAGGGCAGGGGTATTCAATTAGAATTCAAAGAGGTCCAGACAACTAGGATGTCGCCCCAGCTATGTACATAGGGGCTCCTGTTTACATGGACCATGCTATTCCCACTGTTCTGTCGGACAGGCGCTCTGTCGCAGTGAAACATCATCCCAACAGATCACATGTGCGTTCTGTCAGTCTGAGGCCCCTGGTCAGTGTTGATGTTGCTTCTACTACTCTGCCTGCCTCAGCACCAACTAACAGGAATGCAAAGTTCATGTTATTGAACACTCGTTCCCTAAATAACAAAGCACTACTCGTACATGACATCAGTACTGACAGGAAAATTAATTTTCTGTGCTTAACAGAAACTTTGCAAAATCAGAAGGATTTCATGACATTCAACCAAGCCAGCACCCCGGGCTATGTGTACAGACAGAAGCCTCACTCGTGGTGGTGGTCTGGCTGTTATACATTGAGCTTACATCCCAGTGAAAGAACTTTCACTGCCTAACATTACCTCATTTGAGTGTCTTTGTTTCACATTGGCTGGGTCTGCACAGCTCCAGGTGGTCCTTGTTTATCACCCTCTAAAAACCTCCATCATCTTCATGGGCGAGCTATCAGAGCTACTCATCTCCGTCTGCCCCATGTCTCCATCCACACTCCTGCTCGGGGATTTAATATCCATGTGGACTCTAACAGCTGTCCCTTTGCTGCTGAATTCCTTTCACTATTGGACTGCCTCAACATCATTCAGCATGTCAAAGGTCCCACTCACACCAAAGGTCACACACTGGATCTGGTGTGCTCCACTGGTACCACTCCCTCCCAGCTGCAATGCTTCGACATAGCTGTATCTGACCACAGTGCCATCCTTTTTTATATTCCAGTCCTTCTGCCCAGGCAAACACTCAAACGCAGCATCACATTCAGGAACATCAAGTCTGTTAATACATCATCCCTAGCCAGCACTGTAAGGACCCACCTTGCTTTAGATCCCCCTGACCCCGGGGTGGATGGCCTAGTCGCCCACTACAAATACAGCTTTGTCTCTCAGCCTGGATTCTTTTGGTCCCCTCAAGACCCGGACTGTCTCTTTCTCCCGTCCTGCCCCTTGGTTCGCTACCAAACTTAGCTCCATTAAGGCCACTGGTCGCCAACTTGAGAGGCTTCATAAAAAATCTGGCCTTCAAAGACCATGTGAGGTCTTATAAAGAAGCTCTCTCCAAGGCCAAAACACACTACTATTCCACCCTCATTGGTAACAATCAAAAGCAACCCAGACTGCTCTTCTCCACCATAAACCGGCAGCTCTGCCCTCATGATGCCCCTTGCCCCTTTGACACTCCTAACTTCTGCTCCAAATTCCTGGCTTTCTTTCAGGCAAAAGTGGACTCTATCCATCAACAACTGCTGCCTCCTACTCGTGACCCTCTACCCACAACTCACCCTCACGATGGTGCGACCCCCTCCGCTGCATACTTGCCTCTCCCCCTTCTCCCTTCTGGACATGGCTCAAGTCGTCAAGTTGGTTACCAGAGCCAAGATTTCCACCTGATCACTGGACCCCATGCCTACAATCTTGGTCAAGACGTGCCTCCCTACCCTCTGTCCCATCATGGTGGACATCATAAACACTTCTATCTTATCTGGCTTGGTACCCTCCTGCTTCAAAACAGCTAGCGTTACCCCTATTTTCAAAAAGCCCAGTTTGGACCTGGATGACCTCGACAACTACCGTCCGATCTATAACCTTCCCTTTATGAGCAAAATCCTAGAAAGTGCAGTCGCTGCCCAACTTCATCAACACATGTCCCACTATGATCTCTATGAACCCCTTCAATCTGGCTTCAGAGCACTGAGACTGCCCTCATCAAAATCACTAATGACCTCCTCATCGTCGCTGATTCTGGACATATCAGCATCCTCATTCTTCTAGATCTCTAAGCAGCCTTTGACACAGTTTCTCATACCATCCTTCTCAACCATCTATCTGAATGCGTTGGCCTTACCGGTTCAGCACTCTCCTGGTTCCAGTTATATCTCTCCAATGGGGAACAGTTCGTCACCTTTAGAGGCTCCAGCTCCCCCCCCCCGGCCCCAGTCAAACAAGGTGTGCCTCAAGGCTCAGTGCTTGGACCCCTCCTTTTCACCATTTACATCCTCCCCCTCGGCCAGATAATAAGTCACCATGGTCTCAGTTTCCACTGTTATGCTGATGACACACAGCTGTATATCAGCACCAAACCATCCACTCAGCTTCCCCCTCTGTCCCTTAACTTTAACTGTCTGTATGAAATAAAAACCTGGATGTCATCCAATCTACTCAAGTTAAACCGCAGCAAAATGGAGCTAATGGTCATGGCTCCCAAGCCGCTGCTCCTGAGGGTAGGTGATCTACTTCTCAATGTGTTGCTCCGTCTCTCCATCCCAAGAAGTCCGCAACCTTGGTGTCATTTTGGACTCCACCCTTTCCTTCCAGTCACATGTCAAACAAATCTGCTTTCGACCACCTCAAAAACATCTCCAGACTTTGACCAGAATCTGCGGCAGAGTCATTCATCCATGCCTTCATCACTTCCTGCTTGGACTACTTTAATGGTGTCCTGTATGGGGTACCCAGCAAGGTCCTGGACAGGCTACAATTTTTGCAGAACTTGGCTGCCAGGGTTCTCACACACACTAGTTTGTTGCAGCACATCACTCCAATCCTCACTCAGCTTCACTGGCTCCCATTCGCATAACCTACAAAATCCTACTCCTCACCTATACATCTTCCCATGCCACTGCCCCCGAGTACCTACTGGGCCTTCTCCACCCCTATACCCCTTCACAAAACCTGCAGTCCACTGACAAGGGCCTACTCTTTGTCCCCCACACCGCAGATGCAGATACCCCCCCCTCTGGAACTCCATCCCCACAGAGATCTGAAATGCTCCCTCTCTGGACTCTTTCAAAAACCTTCTAAAAACCCACCTCTTCACAAAGGCATTTAACCCTAAGTTACTTTTTTATTGTTCTGTCTCTGCAATTCTGTGTAAATCGCCCTTGGGTCTTGTGAAAGGCGCTATATAAATATAAGTTGTTGTTATTATTATTATTATTGGTTAGACAAAATTTCCCGAAGCAAAGGACCAGAATATCGTAACAACATGTTTGCGCCATCATTCAGCACTGACTGTCAAATCAGATAATCTTTCAGTTTTCACATCAAACTCAAGGGACAATAATAACTACTCTACTAATAAATTCTCAATTTAAGTAAACTAAAATAACGTGCTAAATTTCAGGGAAAAAAATGAAATAAAAAGTGTAGCTTGAAGTGATTGAAGTGTAGTTTCAAACAATTTTACAATAAACACTCAACACAACTAAACAAATTACCAGTTTTAACGCCTCGTCTACTCTTTTACAACCTCATATACACCACTTTCCTACTTTCTCTTGTAAGTAAGAAATGTGAGCTCTAGCGTGTCCTGCCATCTAGGATTGGAGATCTATGATATATTCTGGTTTTGAACTGCCTGTGGGAAGAATATACATGTAAGAATCTGTACATTCTTAATTAAAAGCCATGTGAAATCTCTTTCCTCTTTTGTCTCCTCAATTCGTGTGGCTGGAAGCTTCACCTGTCCTTCGCGAGGTAGTAATTCTCAATAATACATTGGCTGTAGGTCAGCGGTCCGGAGAGAACGGCGGCTGGGTCCAGTCCGCCTATTAGTGACCTCTGGTCTAGGGGTTTGGTCTGTGCAAAATGATGGTCACTGCATAAGTTACAGTCTTATTGGTTGCAAGAAAAAAGAAGTGTTCTGTTGTTAATGATGAACTGATGTTGGAGTTGTGCTGAGTCCAGTTTGAATCACTGAATTGTTATTGACATGTTTTTATTTTGTGTCTGGTGTCTTTATCTCTATTTCATCTTCTGTCATCTCTCCAGACTCTGTCAGGCCGAAGAACGAGACTAGTCTGTCTAATTCAGGTAAGCCCATCAGTGATATTGTCTACGACATCATGTGTGACATGATGTAATGTCCTCTCCTCTGTCTCAGTGTCTCAGTGGTTTCCATTGGACTGAACTGTAAAGTTCTCCAGGACAGTGACGTCCTAAAGTGTAGAGAGGTGGGCTTGTTTCTGGAAGCTTCACCTGACAGGACACACCTGGAGGAATCTGTCTCTCTGTCTGTCTCTGTGTTTGGGGACGTCCCACCAGGTGGATCCAGTCCCTCCTTTTACAGTCTGTCATCGCTCTGCTCCATGTTTGTCAGACCTGTGACATCACTTCCTTTTTCAGGGGCCATTTTGTTGAACGGAGGGTGAATGTGACCTTTCATCATCTGTTTGTTATAAGAACGTCTCTGGTGAATCTCACTCACGGACTCGACTCGCAGTTTTTATCGAAATGCACAGATTTGATTTGCTGAGCAGCATCACATGACACGATTGGAACACATGCAGTGGGTCTTTGAGTTTCCTGGGCTGCCAAACCAGTACAGTAAATGGTAGAAAAGCAGTGCGGGTTCAAGTAGAAATGCTCCTTCAGAAGGTAGCAATTCCCAATAATAAATCGGCGGCGGTCCGGACTGCGGTCCGCCTATTAGTGACCTCTGGTCTAGGGGTTTGGTCTGTGCAAAATGATGGTCGCTGCATAAGTTACAGTCTTATTGGTTGCAAGAAAAAAGAAGTGTTCTGTTGTTAATGATGAACTGATGTTGGAGTTGTGCTGAGTCCAGTTTGAATCACTGAATTGTTGTTGACATGTTTTTATTTTGTGTCTGATGTCTTTATCTCTATTTCATCTTCTGTCATCTCTCCAGACTCTGTCAGGCCGAAGAACGAGACTAGTCTGTCTAATTCAGGTAAGCCCATCAGTGACATCATCTATGACATCATGTGTGACAGTAATGTCCTCTCCTCTGTCTCAGTGTCTCAGTGGTTTCCATTGGACTGAACTGTAAAGTTCTCCAGGACAGTGACGTCCTAAAGTGTAGAGAGGTGGGCTTGTTTCTGGAAGCTTCACCTGACAGGACACACCTGGAGGAACCTGTCTGTCTGTCTGTCTGTCTGTCTCTGTGTTTGGGGACGTCCCACCAGGTGGATCCAGTCCCTCCTTTTACAGTCTGTCATCACTCTGCTCCATGTTTGTCAGACCTGTGACATCACTTCCTTTTTCAGGGGCCATTTTGTTGAACGGAGGGGGAATGTGACCTTTCATCATCTGTGTGTTATAAGAACGTCTCTGGTGAATCTCACTCGCGGACTCGACTCGCAGTTTTTATCGAAATGCACAGATTTGATTTGCTGAGCAGCATCACATGAAACGATTGGAACACATGCAGTGGGTCTTTGAGTTTCCTGGGCCGCCAAACCAGTACAGTAAATGGTAGAAAAGCAGTGCGGGTTCAAGTAGAAATGCTCCTTCAGAAGGTAGCAATTCCCAATAATAAATCGGCGGCGGTCCGGAGAGAACGGCGGCTGGGTCCGGACTGCGGTCCGCCTATTAGTGACCTCTGGTCTAGGGGTTTGGTCTGTGCAAAATGATGGTCACTGCCTAAGTTACAGTCTTATTGGTTGCAAGAAAAAATAAGTGTTCTGTTGTTAATGATGAACTGATGTTGGTATGTATATAATACAACTGTTGTTTATTTGATACACATATTAAAGCAGTGAGTGCAGCGGTAACGTCAGATCATATTTACGCTGGGGAGAGGGTAGTTCGTCCAAAAGTTGGCTGCTATATTAAAACCACACGTGGCTTTGGGAGCTCGATTTGGCTGTGAGGGTGACTCCAGAGTGAAAGTGGCGAAGGTCTAGTTTCGGAAAGGCTTTATAAATAACTTTATTCATTCAGTCTCTACCAACATTTCCTTTACTGTCTGTCCCTCTGTGTGGATATTGTGTAGGCTGCCCCCCCCCCAGACCTGCTCTTTATGAAAAGCGCTATGAGATAACTGTTGTTGTGATTTATATATATGATCTATATAGATATATAGATGCGATTGGTTGGAACAAACGTTCAGATAGAGATTATTGACGGACAGAATCCCACAGCTCCATGTTGAAGTGGTTTTGGGAGATTTCAGGTCACTACAGTTTGTGTTTGATGGGAGCTGATGGACTCATGATGGTGTGTGATGTGATGACGATGATGATGTCCTTGTGTTTGATCAGATCCAACAGTTCATCTCATCATAGTACTCGTCAGGCCGCTGACTCTGCAGTTGGTGTTGCTGTTCGTGTTGGTGTGGATGTTGATGACTGCTGCCCTTTGTTTCTACTATAAGGTACTGACACATGTCTGTTGTTTAGAGGCAGGGCTTGACATTAACTTTTTTGCTCACTAGCCAATATGGCTAGTGGTTTTCCAAAGTTACTACCCACGCAGCATTTTCACTAGCCATATTTTTGTTGTTGGAAAATCACGTTTTATATGACAAAAGTTGACAATGACATGCTTAAATTTACTAGTATTAACATTAGCTCTGATAAGGTTGGATGTGAAGCTCCTTTTTTTTGAAAACATGTAGTTTGAAAACATGTAGTCTATTAAGAACAATTAAAAAGAGTATTAGAGTATATTCTAATTGTGATGTATGGGTGTAAAAGATTAATTGAAAAGAAAACAGAAACACTGTTTATTTATTTTAACAGCAGTAAATACTGTAATACAGAGTAGGAAAAGTATCTGCATTAGAGACAAGCACAGAATAAATTATTTTATCTTAGAAAAAACTACAATTAAGGCAACAGGATTATAATGTTATGTGTGTAGGCCTATATCAGTTTTGGGTACTTAAGATGGTTTGTTTAGCATCTGCATTTCCTCAGAGCTCTGACTGGATTTAAGTTTCTCATCATCAAGCTCTGGTAGCTCTGAGTACCTGGAGATACGTCCACCTGAAACAAGTATACAGGTCTTTATTTACCAGATTATTTCCATACAAACACATCTCCTGCTGTCCTGCGGGGATTAGTTTTATTAAAAAATAGAATTAACTCTGGAAAGGTAGTTGTGATATGAGGTGTGATGTGACATAAGGGTAGTCCTGCTAACACCATATATTCTCCACACTGCTCATCCACGCACACTCACATGCACTGACTTAACGCTGTGTTGATGTGTGTGTGTGCGTGACCATGTGATGACAGAGATCATACCATCAGGTTGAAGGCAGGCTGGAGGCTGACTGTCTAAAGGTGTGAGGGACTGTGGCTGCCCTGTGACAGATTCAACTGTTATATTCTCGTTTGACAAAAGCCTGGATGTCATATTTGGTGTGTGCACCCTGGCGGCAGGAGAGAGTGAGACGATTCTTCTGCTATTTAAAAGATCGCTAGGCTACGTCATCGCTGCCGCTGGTTACATTGATAATTAACAGCAGGCTAAAACAGCACTCGGACCAATGGCCAGTCTGCTAGTTTAATTTCCACAGCGTCTTCTTGTTTACAGTGTTGAGCAAACACTGTGTGCAGGTAGCACTCATGGGAGTTGTAGTGCAAAATTCATTTATTTCAGATGCCTTTTGTCAGCACGCCAAAGTGGCTAGTGGGAGTGACTGTGTTACCCACCATGGCTGAAATCCACCCGCATTTGGCAGGTATTAATGTCAAGCCCTGTTCAGAGGACTGAGATGAAGCACTCGGTTTACTGAAGAAGAGGAGGAGTGATGCACTAACTCACATGTGCTGTCATGTCTCTTCAGGCCTGCAGGGGGCAGAAGCTGGGCAGTCAGGAGAACATTGTGCTGGATCAGTATACCCAGCGTGTTTCTGCAGCTGACTGAGGAGGAAGGAGCTCAGGGAGCAGAGTAGGACCTCCAAGGAGCTCATCTCAGCTGCCACACAACCCACCATCAGCTCAGACAAGGATTTTACACTTTTATACTGATGTTCCCTTTAAACAATCCATCTGGAATTATTAGATTATATTAGAATCTCTATTTTTATTACTCTCAACATGAAAAGAGCAAAACCAACAGCATGTTAGTCTTTTCAGACTTCCTGTCTGTGGCTCTCAGCTCCAAGCCCATTGGTTCCTACTGAAGACGTCAATCTTTAAAAAGTCCTCACAAATATATAGTTTCATTTTAAAACTGAGTATCGGGGTCCAAACACCCGGCACAATTCAGAACCAAAGCCACGCCGACCCAGGAGGATCTGGAAGTCCTTCTGGAACCATGTTGGCCGAGTCCTGTTAGATATTAAATTAAAATAAAAGTGAAGCGTTGGCGCAGATCCTCTGAATTTTGTTTCACAACACTCGATGTGCAAATCACATTTGGTGACTCGTGAACAACTGAATCCTGAGACCAGAGAAGAAACATGTCCAAGAGCCTCCTGCTGCTGATCTGGAGATCTGGAGGCATCGAGGGCCGGAGACACTAATTTGAGAAAAATACAGAAACACAGAGATCAGAGTCATTTAGCGAGCAGACAAAGTACAACATTAAAAATAATTTTCATCTCGTTAGTGAGATATAAACTTTAAGACTTTTACCGCCCCCTTGTTGCTGACATGGGTCATTTTCTGTTGAGCGACAGATCTCCTCCTCCATGACGTTTTGTTCCTTCGATGGCAGCAGGAGCACATTTAGCTCAAGTCTGACTAAAAGCTGAATTATACAAATCAGAGCAAAACTAATTTTTGTAATTCATTTTGTGTATTTCATTTCATTTTGCTTAACTTGGTAACAAAAGAATTTACTTCACTTTTTAGCTTATTTGATAATCATATCGAATCATTTAGTAATTAATCAGTTAAAGACAGTATGAGGGCACTTTTATGATAAAATGAAGTCGGTGTCCAGGTGGATCATTGTTGGACGTGGAAAGTACGACACTACGTGACTGTCTGCTCATAGCCATTTAAAAACCAAAACCTGCATAAATCTGTATTCAAAGAAAAAGCAGTTTAATAAAATATAAGACTGTGTTTTCAGTTTGTCTGTCTGTTCTTCTGTCTTTAGCACAGATGTCCACTTGGACTCGAAGATGAACTGATTAGAGTTTGGGGGGTCAAAGTTCACTCTGACCTCAAAATGACCTCGAAAAACTTCAGTTGCCTCCCCAAGTTGACTTTTTGCTCCCAGTCTTGTGTTATTGCTAGCAGGTCAGAGGAGGTGGTCTTGGCAGCTGATGTTAGCTTCTCCCCAGCCCTGACTTTTAAGGGGCTATATGTAAGTTTTTCAAAGAAATGAATCAAATTTTCATTGCCTTATTGTCAATGGGCTCAAAACTCACTTATAAATGAAGCACACGCCTGTTTTCTCCGTTGCTTGCATCAGCCACTATTCTGCTTTTAATAGCAGCGACGTTAGCAGCGTACTACAGCGACCACACGGCAGCTAACGACATGCAGTCCACTAACACTATAAAACAACCGGCTCACAGCAAAACACAGACTCCATGTAAGGATATAAAACACCAACAAAGGTTTATGTGCTGAAGCCTGTCAGACCAAACAGGTTCAGATGATGTGGAGTAAGAACAAAGTCAGCATTAGTAAAGCTGGAGAAACACAGAGAAAGTCACGTTAGCTCGCCGGCTAACCCTGAGCAGTTGCTAACGTTATCTGGTGAAAAAGTTATATCACTTTCCACATTACTTCACCAACTGACGCGACCCAAATGTTACCATCCTGTGTACCACTGTTGATTTAGCCTGAAAGGATGTAACGGTAAAAAGCAAATGAGGAGCGATTTCTTTACTAACTAACGTTACGGTACAGTAGCTCAGACCTGCCGCTGTTTGCTTCGTAACGTTCAGTTTAGGTTTATTGTGGTTTTCCCAATACTCAGGTACACAGCTTCTCCACCTCTCAGTCGCTGTAACTAACGTGACCCACATATATATACAACCCTGCAATAAAACGGTCACAACAACACAGAAGAAGAGCTACCCACTAACACTAGTTACAGTAAAGTTACTTACTGCGGTCTAACTGTTATAAAGTGTGACACAGTCTTATAATATTCAGTCCAGCTCACTAACCGTTTCATGATCATCCAATACAATTAGCTGTGCTGACGTTGCTGAGCCTCCGGTGACAGATACAGATACTGCTGAGCTCATGTTACTTTATCTTCACAAACATTGGTTACATTTATTTGGTTTAGCCTAAATACAGGTTTGACTTGCACTGTTGTTCATTAACGTAGTTACATTGCTAGCGACTGCATGTGGATGTAGCTACAAGCCAAGGAACTGACTCAAGGTTATTTGTGTTGCCTCAGAGAGCATAACAGGCCCACATCAGCAGACATCCCTAACCTGGCCCAAATTCAAAAAAGATAAGCACACCTGTTGTAAACAGCTGGAGGGCAGAATATAGATGTACTCACTAAATAGACCCAATCTTGGAAAATGGTGTCGTGAAGTTTTAATGTGTGGCTCAAAGAACAGACAAAATGAAAACAAACAAGAACTAAAATAGATTCCTATTCTTCAATGTCAATATGTCACATTCAAAATACGAATAAAAGACATGGATGTCTCGACCACAGCTAACGCACAGTGTGCCCACTCCAGGGTAGGGACCTGCTAACAGAATAGTTCTGGATGCAAGGATCTGGTCCACCTTCATACCAAACGCTACCCCCGGGTATCTGCCTAAACCTCCTTGATCTGAGCCTGGCGTGAACTGTTTTAAAGAAGATCCAAGTTTTCATCAGTGGGAGGTGTGGTCCTGAGCTACTGGAGGGCTGTGTGGAAACACTCACCGAGTTAAAGAAATAATAGTCCTTGAAGACTTACTCTGTTGTACCTTGAGCTTTTCACTCAAAGGACATTTTTATTACGTTACATTTATTCATTCAGCGACTTACAATTGCTATACATGTCAGAGGTCGCACGCCTCTGGAGCAACTCGAGGTTAAGTGTAACAGTAAACAGGATGTAACAGTACTTTGCACGATCTTGCTGGCATCGGTCGATCTCTCTCACGCAAGAGGCCCTTTTGTGGTTGGATGGTTTCTGGCGTTCATTCAGTCTGAGCGTGTGTGATACATGCATGGCAGTCTTCCTGCCTCTTCACAGAGCACACCATATATGGCTTCTTTTTGACATTCAACAACAGCTCACAGCTCACACATATACCCACAATGCACTCTCTATTTAGTCCAAGTTTTACAGTGAGCTCAGCAATATATCATCATAAAGTGATCAAATCAAGCAGCTGAGCACAGCGGATCAAATTACAATACATCAATTAATCAATCCATTTATTATAAGTAATAGACTTGTTAGGGGCAACACACTATGATACGGTCACATTTTAACTTCCTTGAAACTCCATAAATCAACTGTGTAATAAATCAGTAAATTATATATATATATATTTAATTTAGCATCCTCTGTCATTTTCAATTATTTATTATCCACATTATATTCTTCAAAACATCATCTTCATCACTTGTTAACATATCTAAGACGTTTTCATCATAAGCAAAAACACCACTCGCTGCCATCTGCAGAGTTTCACCTCCTGTGAGTCTTCGGATGAAGGCTCTTGTGCCTCGGCAGCAAACTGCTGTCAGACTTTCCATCACGTCTCCAGGTGATAAAACTAAAGATCTTCTTCTATCATTCTAAATGTTTTTGTAACAAAAAACGGTTCCACAACATTTTCACATGTCCAGTTATTTCAGTAGATTAAGGTTTACACTTTATAACACATTATAAATTCATATAGCAACGCATAGAAGCAATTACACTCAAGGAATATATTTTGGTATATAGTGACTGTCAGAGTAAAGAGTAAGAATAAAATACTTTTCTACTGTCAATACTGAAACATACGCTCACGATACATCCTGATTACACGGCATTATTATAATGGTGGTTAAATTTTACACAGCAACTTTAGCAAGGCAGCAATTTTACTTCAAGCAATGTTATCTTAGCAGAGCAGATGATTCGTTAAGGGGTAAAAAATAAAAAGCAAAGAACAATCAAAAGCAGATTTCTCTTGCCAATTCTCTTGCCAATTCTATCAACTTGAAATAATTCTTTATGTGCCAACTTTGTGATACATGGATGGATGGATGCACCCGGGCTCATTCAGTAATCAATGCATAGCTTTTATCTTTTTATCATGTAGCGCCTGAGAAAAGCGTTGCAACCTCTGTTTGCTGTCTCAGATACCTGGAAAGAAGTAGAAACGCTTCAGCAGAGTGCATCTGTCTTTGGTTGGCATCTGTAAAGGAAAGGCTTCGAAGCTCTGCAGGACCTGAAAAACAACATGAAACCAGAGTTTTCATCATGACTACTTGCTATTTGGTGTTGTTCCCTCACAAATGATATTACTTTTCACCAGGTCATTGTAATTAGTGTCAGTTCTTATTCTGTGTCCTATTATACATGCATACTTCACACCCAGAAGACAGTTTGAACTTGCAAAACTTACTTTTCTGAAAAGTTCCTCGATGTCATTCTCACATGCAAAGGTGTTAAAGACCTTAACCACAAACTGGATCACTAAAGACCCACTACATGTGTGTCTATATGAGACCGTATCTGGGGGAAAAAAACACAGAAAATATATTTAGTTTCTATTTCATAATGTAACTATTGCCAGCTGTTTGCGATGTAAATTATTGATCGTTGTGTTATGATCTGCAGAAACAGATCTGATCATATTGAAGGTGACTGACCAGGGGTGCAGGAAAGAAGAGAAATGAAGTCTTTTTCTTTGTGTGCAAGTCGTAAAGCATCATCCTCTATGTTTTCTCCACCAGCAAACAGGAATGAACCTGGCTGATTCACATCATCACAGTCCAGAGCTGAGTTTGCACTGTCGATCACAAGTACTGATCCTTCCTCGCCTGAAACACATGCGGCATCATTTTATTACAGTGCACGAGAGCCTTGCTGACATTAGCAGACTCCTAAACTAATTTCTGTTGATGTTTGGTGTATCTGTGAGAACCGATCATCACCTCCTCTGCAGGCCTGGATGATAATGATCTTGGGTTTGTCCAGCAGCGCTGGACATTCCTTTGAGCCCAAGTGTGTGTAAATGTTGTTGATGGGGAACTCATCACTAGATGTCTCAGTGTGGTTGACACCGATGACGACATCCTGTTTCCCGTGAGACATAATGACGACCGCCACGCTGTCTGTCTCTTTGAGTTTCGGAAGTTTAGAGAACTTAATTATAGAGTCATCAATCGCCTGTGAGAACACAGAAGTCAGATATTCAGGTATAACTTACTGTGTCACTAAATGAACCAGACAAAAGTGTTTGTGTTAAATCTCCCCTTTTTACAAAGTACCTTTCCTGTGAGGTTTGTGTGTTTCACCACCTCGTATCCCAGACATGTGAGCAGCTTCTCCATGTTCTTCTCATCTGTCTCAGCTCCACTTCTGTTCCATTTCTTATCAGTAAACTTTATATTAGTGATTAGCAAGGCCACACGATTCCTAATGGAACTTTTGGCTGCAGGGTAAACCTGAAAAACAAATTCACAGGAAGAAAGCTGAACAAATATTTGACACATTTGAGTACGTTGTAGACTTTATTTTAAAAACAGCTGCATTCCTGTTCGTCAAACAACACCTTCCTGTCGAGGAGAAGTAAGCTAAGTTGCACAGGAACCAATGTAATAATGACTTTAATAAAGGATTTACATCTTTATCCTTCTGCTTCTCGATCCAAAACTCCTCAGTGGTCTTGATGACTGTCTCAGACCATTTCTGCTCCACCGGGGTTTCTGCAGTTAATTAAAAGGGAAAACATTTCTGTTCAAAACCATGTACTTATTTGCGCATATACACCTGTATTCACGGTAGTGTCAAAGTATATGAAGGTCTTTTCAGCTTAAATATGTCAGCTGACCTGGAGGAGCAGGCTGACCGGAGGACAGACCCAGGGTGGAGTAAAGTGCAGGATCTCTAATTTGAATGTGAGCGATCAGCTTCCTGCTGGCGTCATTTCCTTTGTTCCTCACTGTGTCAATGAGACAGCGAGCCCTGTCTGCTTTGCTCTGGTTTTCCTCAATTATTGAGTCCTTCTCCCCAACGTTCACGATACGATCCCCTAAAATGTCATCCAGCAGCTGATTGATGAGTTCTTTGGATGCCTTTTCCACAAACTTACTCCTCACGTTGAAAAGCTCTTGTTCTAGAAGAGGGAATGAACGAAAAAACGTACATGATTCAAACTTCTGCCTCTTATGGGGATTTCAACAGAGGTAACATTTAATAAGTCATTAGGAGTGTTTACAAATCAGAGCTGTCCTGTGAAAATCACGTATCTCCAAAATATCAACTCTTTACAAGCAAAGAAAAACAGTGTGCTTTTCATCCAATCCACTGGGTTTCTGAATGGTTTGCTTCGGGCAAGAAGTAGGAAAGTATTTTCCAACAGCTTCAAGAAGACTTAATCCTTTAGCTTATCTGTAAAATTCAAAATGGTTTTCACTCATCCGGACAGCGATGATAAGATGCTTGAATATTTAGATGCAAGGTCCCTACTGGAACTGAAGGAACATAGCTAACATGCTCAAAAACTCACCAAACTGATGCACATAATTCAGACGGGGCAAAAAAACAACCTTTTTTATGGGTCTCAATCATGGGCGTGGCAAAATGGCTCAGTAGTGCCCCCTACAGAGCAGCCGCCAGCCAAAGTTTCACCTGCCGCTTGCAGCTTTAATTACAAGTTGAAATCAGAAAATCCTGTGGAATCAATTTGTGATGCCGTTTCTGGTGCTTCTGAAAGCTATTGTGTTAAACTGAGAGGTGTTTCTGTTATTCAGCCTACCCTCTGTGATACAAATGGGGCCGACAAAATAATAGAAACACCTGTCAGGTGTATGGACGCAATGCTAGGATCTGCAACAACAGCACAAAATCCAGCCTCCAAAATGTTCATAAAGTTTCAACAAAAGTTGGTTTAGCTAGGTGTAAGGTTAGCACATGTTTAAGTAATGCATACAAATGAATGTGAAGTAAGTATAAGTTAACAATTATTAAATGATGACCCATTGAGCGACTTGGTAATCTCTTACTGAGCAACAAGAAAAGTATGAAACATCCTGCATTCATTTATACATTAAATCAGCATTTGTTGAGACCCTTTTCCAAAGTTCTGTATGATTTCTTTGACAGACAAAGGAAGAGTAAGAAATCAAAAGTCAAACCCCATCACCCTCCTCACCGTCTTCAGAACACAGACCACTTACAGAAAATAGAGCTTGACCTATGTTTGATCGCTGATCGCCTGCATGTTGCCGCTAACACACACCAAAGTCAAGGTTACTTGCAAAGTGAAAGAACTCTTACCTGCCATTTCTCAAATGTTGTTAAAGTTACACACGAAAAAACTGCCCAACCACAGCCTGTGAGTAGAGACGGGTTCAACTAAACTGCAGAGTCGGCTGTTGCAAATCGTGGGGTGCAGATGGTTGATTGTGTAATGTGCACTTCCTCCTCTCAGTACAGAGAGGAAGTCTAACATCTAGAAGCAGAAACGTAAAAATGTGTAACTTCACACCATAGTATGAAATGTTAGACCTGTCATATTTAAATTTATAGGCTTTAGTTTAGTTTGATTAGAAATCAGATACTTCAGTAAAATCCATTATGGGCTGACCTGCACATTTGTTATTATGTAAGGCGTTTATACACCACTGGAAACATACTGAACTAAACAAACTGGCCTTCTAAATATTACACACTGAACCTTTAAAGTTTGTCACCTTTTTCTGTTGGCTACACTTCAAACGGCGGCCACTGAGACCACTGTGAACATAACGTAAAACGTGTGGCGGTCGCCATTACCATTTTATTATTAAATATTACTAACTATTAACTATTAAACTATTTAACTATTAGTAAACAACAGCACAAAGGACAGTCCAGGCATGAGCACCGGCAGAGTGAAACTAAAACGCGGCACGCACCACAAAAGGCAGAAATGTCCAGACTTGTCTTTGAGAGACTTTGTAAAACAAAGGAAGGGTAAAAAATCAAAAGTCAAACCCCATAGTCCGCCTCACCACAGACCCCTTACAGTATCCTCAATACAGCTTGTGCGTTTACACTGTGAACTCTTACCTGCCATTTCTCTAATCTTATAAGTTACACACAAAAAACTGTCCAACTTCCAACGTCACATCTGCACCATATTTGGTATAATAATGGTCCCGCCCCGAACACACCCACATGCCAACGTTCAAATGCAAATCAAATTTAGTTAAAATAATAAGCTAATTTAGCACTTAAATTTTTGTCATGTTTAGTGAATCCAAACAACACATTTTCCCACTGCAATGCAAACTGAGGGTAAATATGGACAATAAACAATAAATTGAGACACCAAAGTTTCTTGGTGTTTGGGCAAGACCAAAACAAATGCCCCAGCGTTTGGTTTAGTTCTTCACAGAAAGTACAGCTGAAGTCCTTTTTCAGTTTTTGCAGGTAATAGTTAGTGGGGTAAAACCTGTGAAGCATTTTGAATGAGATCTCTTCAACTTTGTTGGTTAAAAAAAAGTTGTGTGGCAAAAGCCAAACTTTTCCCAACAAATCTCTCCAACAAATGAGGACCAGTATGAAACAGCGGCAGGTGTCCTGGTGAAAAAGTTGACCAATGGCCTTATTCTTACTTTTAGGTTGCAGCAAAAAACAAATATTCCCAAAATTGTTTCCTTCACATCCAACAATGTTGGGGGATCATCAAATCCATTAACACCTTTAAAAAGTGAGATGACAGCTGAAGGTATTGCTTCGAAGACGATGGAGAAGTCCTTTGGTGAAATAGGGAAACCATAGTGATGAATAAATTCAGTGTAGTTATAGAGTTGACCACGTTGGTTGAATAATTGATGTACAAGCAAAATGTTATTGTCAAACCACTGTTGAGAGAAAACGGATTTGTTTTTATACAAAATATATCTGTTGCTCCAAATGTAAAACCTGTGAGGAGTGAAGTTGAGACCAAGTCAGTAGCATTTGTTTATGAAACGAAGAAAGTTTTCAGCATTATAAGTTCATACCAACAATAACTGGAGCCCACCAACTGAAGAGAAGACGTGATGAGAGTGAAGCGAATGACGTGAATGAGGAGAAAAACTAAGGCCGCCTTTACTGTACGCATTAAAACAGACTTTTTCAGATAATAATTGCAGACAAAATCATAAAGGAACTCAAAGCCATAGCGCCACCCTGCTGGGAACAGGAAATGACAAATTTTACGCTATGAATGTTATCTCGCGTTCCAGACTGCTTGAAACTGGGAAATTTCCCAGTTGAAATACGCCATGACGCCAAAAGTGAACAAAAGCCATGAGTGACTGTGACAAAGTGTGCACACAGTTGCACCCTCTGCAGTGTTTTAAGTGTTAATTAAAAGGACGGCAGTTTAAATGCGAACAACTGACATAACCTGTACATTACTAGTTCTGTGTTTCTAGCTACATCAGTCAGTGACCCTCAAGTCAGTCAATGTTGCAGGTTACACTTCCTAATGTTTTGGCATTTTTAACATTAACTTTTATGCAGAAAAGATGACTTTATGAGATTCTTTCCTGTCGCCTGCTACCTAATAACATATTTCTACATCAGTGTACATGCAGAACAGGTTCTAACATATGACCGTATGTATTATTTTAATTTAAATACATGCAAATATACTTTCTGTTGCCTTTTAGTTCATGGTTTCCCATTTACATTATTTTTGACAATTTGCACACTTTGTACTTTAATGAACTCCTTCTAGAGAATTCTTGTGGTGCAACATCGATGGTTAACCATGAAACAGGAAGGTGTTATAACTTCAGTATACATACCCCAATATTCACTTGAAGTCATAGCGCCACCTGCTGGCAACAGGACGTAAGGTCTGGGTGGATCATATAGTTACCGGGTGATCTGCAGCGCCACCTGGGGGACACATTAATAGAGTAACACAGACTCTCCCTTTAACCTCTGACACCATGTGTGCTTGTAGTTACATCCCAGGTTTAAGTCCAGCCTACAGCTTAGCTAACAGCATCTAAACCCTGCTGAGTCTAAAGGCCAGAAATCATGTTCTTATTCAATGTATGATGCTGTATGATGAAGATTTCTGGTAACGGAGGTTTTGGAAGTGTTTAAACTGAATGTTTGCTGCTCTGTCACTTGTGTAGTTTTAGTTTCTCTGCTAGTGAAACTCATTCGTCCGAGAAGATGGAATTTAAACTTCGGGAATCTGCTTCGTCTCTTCACAAAAGACAAATGAGAGAGAAGCTGAGTGAGAGATCGTGTTGAGTTAGAGAACAGTTGGAAGAAATCAAGGTGAGACAGGAGTTTAGCAGGTGATATTACAGCAGGGCTGTAAAATGAGATGCAGGTTGTAGTCTCCTTATTAAAAGGATTTGCAGAAATAAATTATTTTGCATGGTGCAGAAATATTCAGTGCACATACTAATAACATTACAGGAGAGTAAGGAAGCCTAAAAGGTCCATTTCTTCTTGAAACAAATAAAAAAAATTACAGTATTACTCATAAAAAAACAGCACAAATAATGAACTTTATATTTTTCCAATTTTAATCATAACTAATTACCATGATAGTTAGATACAAATACACAGAGAGCAAAATATAATATCACATAAAACAGGCGACAGAGAAAAAACAATGCAGCACAAATAATAAACAGGTGACGTCATCACGTCTTCGGCTCAGCTGTGCACGCTGTTACTAGGCAACAGCAGGTTTGTAGTTGTTTTGGGGCGGCTAACTGAGCAGGTGAGCTCGTGAGATCAGACCCGGTTTTTAAAGTAATTAAAGAGTCCGGTGATGGCCGCGGTTCTCGCGGACCCGTCCCGGGCTCCGGTGGCCTTCGGGCTGCGGGCCGTACCGCAGCTGTTCGCCGAGCTGCAGCAGCCGGAGTCCGGCAGGAGGCAGCGGGCTCTGGCTTCACTCTGCGACCTGATGCACGACCCGGAGCGGCTCTACCAGACCGTGACCGGGGGTAAGTCCGAGTCCAGCACCGCAGCCTAATAATAATATATTAACACGCAGCCTGACAGAAACCGCAGCAGTCTGCAGCTGGAGGAAGGTTTACTTGGAGGAGTATTTCCATTTTAGCCAATATTGTAGTTTTTACTTCCTTACATGTATCTGCCAGCTTCAGCTCGTTAGGCTTCTTTACACGATGATTTTACACAAAACACACAAATAGTTTATAAAATCTGATGTTTTTTTAAATAAATTAAACTAAGAAAAAAAGTGTGAGGAATAGTAGTAATCAGATGATACAGTTACAGGAACATTTTACTGCTTTGATAAGTACACTTTCCTGATTATACTTTTACTTTAGTAGGATTGTGAATGCAGAGCCTCTTTTATCTGCATGTATAGTTTTGGTACTTTCACTTAAATACAGCAACACCAACATTTTTTCTCTGGGTTTGAAGGATTTGTATGTTTATATAACATTATTTCAGGTATTCAGTCAGCAGGTTTGTGTGGAGAACTATTAAGTAAATAATAACATATACATCATAGAAAATGTGTCGTCCACTTCAGGCTCCTCTCCTCCAGAACGATGACGTCTTTGTTGGACTTCTTCTTCTGCAGGTTTTCTGGAGCAGCTGAAGGTTTTGTTTAAGGATGAAGATCCTTCAGTCAGAACTCAAACCTGCGAGCTGCTTCACCTGCTGACCGCCCACAGCATCGGCAGGTAAACACACAGACTCAAACAGCTGCTCGCTCTAGTTTCTTTCAGACAAACAGAAAATAGTTTCTTTGTTGGGGACTATTTCCAGCGGCGGATGAATCCACATGTGGTGCTGTAGTGAGTATTTGGGGCAGCAGGACGGTGTATGTGGGTCTGAATAAAGGTTCATGGTGCAGCAGAGAGGCTACCTGATGGTTTAGTCTCCAGCAGGTGGCGGTATAACACAGCAGCTGCGACCCTTTGTGCTGTCTCTCCTCCTGCAGACAGGCGCTGCTCTCCTCCTCCCTCCTCCCTCCTCTCTCTCAGCTGTTGGACGACAACTCGTCCTCCTGCAGGAAGAACGTCCTCCGAGTCATGAACCGCCTCGCGCTGCTGCCTGCAGGTACGTACGTCCCGTCTGAATCCAGCGCACTCTCAGGAGAAGCAACAGATTCAGTAAAAGCAGCAGTGACGAGATGTTTAGATTCAATAACTGCAACACAGAGAATTTTTATAAAATAAAATCAAACTGATTCAGTATTTCTTTGAACAGGCTGATGCTCTGAATCTTCAGTTTGGGTCTCACTCTGGTTTCTGTTCTGTAATAAGCTTTTAACACATGACGCAGAATAGAAACTGCTCCTCGAGATAATTAAACCCTCAGACTGGAGGCGAGCACACCTGGAGAGTCGCTGTGAACAGGAACGTGAGTGCAGGAGGTCAAAGGTGCAGCAGGAAGTCGGTCGGCTCACTGCGATGGTTGTTAACAGGATAATA